CTCCAGATCCGCACGTCCAACTGCGTCTTCCTTTGAATGTAGCAAGGCAGGTCCATTCCTGTGTTCCCTCACTCTCTGATCAGCACCATAGTCGATCCAGGTGGGCATGGCTGGAAGCTTGGGGGGCCCCCCAACCCCTTCCTCTCCCACCCGCATGGCCAGCCCATGCATGGTCTTGTCACTCTGGCCTTGCGCATATCCCTGATGTCCGTCTGCTTCTTTTCATCCTGGCCACATCCTACTAGCATCCCTTGAGTGGACACTGCCACGGCCTCCTCACTGCTCTGTTTTTCTGGTTCTTCTACTCCCATCCTTCTACGCTGTAGCCAGAGAAATCTTTGTTGTTGTTGTTGTTGTTGTTTGAGACAGGTTCTTGCTCTGTTGCCCAGGTTGGAGTACAATGGTGCCATCTTGGCTCCCTCAGCCTCAACCTCCTGAGCTCAAGCGATCCTCCTGCCTTAGCCTCCTATGTAGATGGGACCACAGGCCTGTACCACCACATCCAGCTAGTTTTTGTTTTTTGTAAGATGGGGTCTCAGTTTGTTGCCCAGGCCAGTCTTGAATTCCTGGGCTCAAGAGATCCACCTGTCTTGGGCTCTCAAAGTGCTGGGATGACAAGCATGAGCCACCACATCTGGATTACAAGCGTGAGCCACTGCCCCCAGATGACGAACATGAGCCACGGTGCCTGGCCTGAGTGATGTGTCTTTTCAGCACACATGCTGCAGCCCCTGTCTCCTCTCCAGCTTCATCTCTCACGACTCTCTCCTCACTCCCAGCATCACCACTTCAGTTCTTGGAAAGCACCAAGCTCCCTCCTCCCACAGGCCCTTGCACAAGCCAGGCTCCCTGCTCAGAGCTTTCTTCTCCCGCCTTCACTTGGTCTAGTGAGTTCTGCCTCAACTGCAGGTCACAGCTGGAACCTTCCTTGCTCTGGGAAGCCTTCCTAACTACTCTCAGAGAGCTACTCACCACAAGCCTTTCCTATAAAGTGCTCATCACTTCAAAATCATCCAGGCACCTGCATGGCGACTTGATTCATGTCCGTCTGTGAGAACCGTGAGAGCAGCAGCAGTGAGGTTTGGCTTAGTGTCTAACTCACAGCCTGGTTACAGAAGGCCTGGGACAAAGATTGAAGGATGGATGGATGGATGATAGACAGATGGACGTATCAAAAGGAAATGAGACTTTTGCCCATACTAGATTTAGTAACACAGAGCCCCAGAGCTACCACCTCCCTTTACCAAATTCTAGACCAGGGCTGTTCATGTCAACCCCTGCTGTCGGTGGCTCATGCCTGTAATCCCAGCGCTTTGGGAGGCCAAGGCAGGTGGATTACAAGGTCAGGAATTCGAGACCAGCCAGGCCAACATGGTGAAACCCCGTCTCTACTAAAAGTACAAAAAATTAGCTAGGCGTGGTGGTGGGCACCTGTAATCCCAGCTACTTGGGAGTCTGAGGCAGGAGAATCACTTGAACCTGGGAGACAGAGGTTGCAGTGAGCCAAGACTGCACCACTGCACTCCAGCCTGGGTAACAGAGCGAGACTCCGTCTCAAAAAAAAAAAAAAAAAAAAA